AGAAAAAAGCTGGAAATGGCGCCGTGGCTCAAGTGGTAGAGCGCTAGCCTTGAGCTGAAGAGCTGAGGGACAGCTCCCAGGCCCAGAGTTCAGGCCCAAGACCAGACACACACACACACACAAAAAAAACTCAAATTAACAGTAATATCAATAAGTGTTTCTCTGATAATATAAAATGGTATATAAAGTTTATGATTCTTGGGCTGGAAAGGTGGCTCAGTGGTAGAGTGCTTGCCTTGCAAGCATGAGGCCCTGGGTTCGATTCCTTAGCACCACATAAGCAAAAAGAAAAAAGCCGGAAGTGGCGCTGTGGCTCAAGTGGTAGAGTACTAGCCTTGAGCTGAAGAGTTGAGGGACAGTGCCCAGGCCCAGAGTTCAGGCCCCACTACCGGACCCCCTCCCCAAAAAAGTTTATAATTCTTACCTCATTGATTTTATCAATAAATTCTGCAAACGAGGCTCCATACTTTTTAATAGCATAGATCATTAATCCTAGTAATGATATGCCAGAGAAGGTCTCTGGAGTAATCACATATATTTCTTTAGATAGAAAATACAAGATAAGCCCAGTTCCAAGCACATAGGGTCCTGAAAGAAGAAGGAATTATTTTTAAAGAATGCATACACTATGCAGGATATAAAATGCATGTGCATTTGATAATAATCAAGACTCAACACCAGCTTAAGAAGTAATATGGCAGAGTTCAAGCTGGGTGCCATTGGCTCATGCCTGTAATCCTAGCTACTCAAGAAGCTGAGATCTGAGAATCATGGTTCAAAGCCAGCCTGGGCAGGAAAGGCTGTGAAACTCATCTCCAATAAGCCACCAGAAAACTAGAAGTGGTGCTGTGGCTCAAGGGGTAGAGTGCTTGCCTTGAGCTGAAGAGCTGAGGGACAGCGCCCAGGCCTAGAGTTCAAGCCCCACAACTGACAAAAAACCCCCCAAAAACAAAAAAAAGCAATATGGCAGAGTAGAAAGAACAAACATGTAGCCTCAAAGCAACCCTCTCATGACTATGACCTAAAAGTAATAGTAGACAAGACAAGCTTCCTCAAAAAGAGTTGATAAAGTTAATGTACCTAAAGTACTCAACACAACACCTCATTCTACAAACAAATCATTCTACAAAGATATCATGTTACTTTCTACAGTAATCTATCCAGCAAAATATACTATTGAACAGAAACACTGGACAGGCTGGGAAGGTGGCTCAGTGGTAGAGCGCTTGCCTTGCATGCATGAGGCCCTGGGTTCGATTCCTCAGCACCACATAAGCAAAAAGAAAAAAGCTGGAAGTGGCACTGTGGCTCAAGTGGTAGAGCGCTAGCCTTGAGCTGAAGAGCTAAGGGACAGTGCCCAGGCCCAGAGTTCAGGCCCCACGACCAGACCCAAAAAAAAAAGAAACACTGGATAGGAAAAAATTTATTCCTGGCCTATTATTGAGTTAGCAATCTGACAAAGGAAACAAGAAAAACAAGTAAACAAAAGAATTCTCAACTTTTCTATCACCTAATAATGTTTAAAACATTATCTTTTCCTTTAATCAGGCCAGGAGCTGGGAAAGTACCCCAGCAATGATTTAGGATTTAAAACATTTAGCATTTTCCTTGGTAACTCACATGGTATCAGGCTAGATCAGATCAGGTTTTCCAGGTAGCACTATATGGTGTTTCTGAGCAGCACTACTCACTATATTAGTAAGACTCCAGACTTTCTCAAGTTTCAGTAGCTCTTTAAAAAATATTGCTTTCAGTACATACATCTTAAACATAAATTTGCATATAACATTTTACATTATAAATCTAATACATTAATTTTCTTGCAACTTCAGTTAAGGAAATGCTATTTTAGGCCATTCTAGGATTAAAAAAAGAATATTTGGCTCCCAAAGTTTCACAGTCAGTCTTTTGAGTACAGCAAGAAAGAATGCCAACTTAATCAGGGAACTTACATTTAAGTTCAGCTTAGTCACTACCAGAATAATGTAACTTTGACAAATCTTTTTGCTATTTTCTCTATGTAATAAAAATGTCTTCATGGGACATAAAGCTTAAGTGTTAGACATGAAATCAGTCATAAAAATGCAAGACTCAAGTTTATGTCTTTAAGGGAAGCAACTAATACAGTCCAATTTATACATACATATGTATATATGAACACACAATATACAGTATATATTAATATAATACAGCATATACAATACACATCACGTGTAATTATTGGTTTTTATTGCCTTATTTTTTTTTTCTTGGGTCTGGTTGTGGGGCCTGAACTCTGGGCCTGGGCGCTGTCCCTCAGCTCTTCAGCTCAAGGCTAGCGCTCTACCACTTGAGCCACAGCCCCACTTCTGGCTTTTTTCTTTTTGCTTATGTGGTACTGAGGAATCAAATCCAGGGCCTCAGGCATGCAAGGCAAGCGCTCTACCACTGAGCCACCTTCCCAGCCCAATTGCCTTATTTTTTATCCTCAGCTCTTATCTGACAGTATTTTTCCATAGCTACTCATGCTTTGTTTATCCTATATATTCCACATGGCAGGCACTCACAAAATTTCTCCTATCAATAGAAATGATGTGATGAAATTAAGTTAAACTTCCAGGGCTGGGAAGGTGGCTCAGTGGTAGAGCGCTTGCCTTGCATGCATGAGGCCCTGGGTTTCATTCCTCAGCACCACATAAGCAAAAAGAAAAAACCCAGAAGTGGGGCTATGGCTCAAGTGGTAGAGGGCTAGCCTTGAGCTGAAGAGCTGAGGGACAGCGCCCAGGCCCAGAGTTCAGGCCCCACAACCTGACCCCCGCCAAAAAAACAAAAAAACCTTCCAAATAACTTAATTCCAAAGAGTAACCAAATCAAGTTTTTATATTGAATCACCACCAAAAAGCCCCAAAAACAAACAACCCCCCCAAAAAAACCCAACAACAAACCAGCTAACTTTATTTAGTGGTAACATTCAACTATACTATTAAATATGGGGTAAATTCTTACTTGCCTGTTACACCAGTTTTAGGATAAAGAAACTGGAAGAATTCCTCTGGAATTAGCCCCATACGTACTTTTCCTCCATATTCAGGAAGGGGTGGTAGAGGGGCAAAACTTGGCTGCGTAGTGTGAAAGATTCTTTTTGTCTGTAATACCCTACAGGAGGCAATTGTACAAGTTAAAAACTTGTTCTTCAAAGAAGGCACAAATACAATTAGCACTGCTCTTCCATTGGGGATGAGGATTTAGTTTTCTAACTGTTGTACTTGGAAGAGAATAGGTCAGGAGTGACAATGATAATAATTTAATCACAGATGCTCAAAGGACTTGCTCTCTTACAGATCACTTGTTTCATACTTTGTGTGCCTATTAGTAGCAATGAGATATAAATGAGTTAAAGACCTACACTTATCATTTGATTTTGAGCAAAGAACTTACTTTGTAATCTGCGATTACCCTATCTAATATGGGAACAAAACAAATTAAGAGTTGTTGTGAGGACTGAGTTAATATATGTGAAGTTCCTACAAAAATTCTATGTAAACAGATTGCTATTATATGACTTCTGTTTTGGAGGCTCCTTAAAAGCCAAAAATCTGGCATTTCTAAATATTCCCTTTGATGAGCTTTCTAATCATTATGTAGTACGACTCTTTCAGAGTTGGGTAGCTAGCTCAATGTTTACCTTTCAAGTAAGCTGCTACATTATATCCTTGGAACTTCAATACATTGTTTCTAATTTTCTTGTCTATGGAAAATATCATTTATGTATTTAGATTAATCGCAGCTCCCTCCCAATTCTGACTGCCTGACAGAAAAAGATTAAGAAGCTTCTGAAATAACCTTTGTCAAAGTTAACTGCTCATAGTACAGTAGAAATGGTAGTGGAAAGGCTAAACATAAGCTGAATGAAGTGTCTGGCTGATGTAGTCTGGAGATAAGAGTAGGAAGAAAACCTGGGTTTTTACTTGTCTCTGCTATAGTTATTTCATTTCCTATCTATATCACATTATTAAAAAAAAAAAAAAAAAAGAAGTTTCTTTTTGAAGTGCTGAACTGACCACAGTGCCCTGTGCACCGAGCTCAACCCCAGCTTATTATTTCCCCCCATCTGGAAGTAACCTATTGTTCCACTTTATTGCTTTCGCAGAAGAATTACAGATAAATTAAGGGCATTTCTTCATGCCGTAGTTATCAAAGTTTGCAAGCTTTACGAGTCAACATGGCATTTTTTTTTATTATCTTGGAGTGACAAAAACTTGCAGTACCAACGAATGGCTCACGCTCCAGCAGCAAAAAGTCGGGATCCGCCGAGACACTGAGAGAGAGCATCTTTCACTGTTTCACTTGGCGAGATGTGTCCTTGGGTAGGTCACCTAGTAACCGACTCACAGCTGTGACTTGCTGAAGGTCACAAGAGTGGGGTCGAGTTGACCCAAGAAAACCCAACTTGCAGTTTTACTTCTCTCACTCACCTTACGAGTTTGAACGAGGGGGGGGGGAGGCTTTAAGCGTTCCCCCCTCCTCCCTGTTAGGAAGAAAGCCCTAAAGGGAAGAGGAAACGGAGGAAAGGGAGCAAGGCGCTCAACAGGGCCGAGGCGTGCGTTCCCCGGCCCACTCACCCCGGTCCTAGGAGGGCTGCGTTCTTCAGACAGGGAGCTGCAGAGAGACAAGGCGCAGGTCAGCAACCATCAGGAAGAAAAGCGATCTGCTCCTTCCTCGGTCCCCCGGGACGGCGTTCCCGTTATCCGCGGGCGATCGCCCTGCTTCAGGCCGAGTCGCTGCGCTGCTGCAACCGCCTCCCCCCCCCCCCCCGCCCCAGTCCCAGCCCCGACCCCCAGCCACCCCGATAACCCAGCCGGGGTTCTACGCCCCCTACCCGCGGCGCCGACGGCGGAGACTGCCACCCGGGACAACATGGCCAGCAAACGTCCACACAGCAGCCACAGCCCGCCAGTGACCTCCACCGGAGGCCGGGTCTGGGGACAGGCGCAAGATGGCCGCCAGCAACTTCTCGCGAGATGAAAAAAAAAAAAAAAACAACGTCGTCTCGGGTCCGCCGAGGTTTCTTTCTTCCTCGCGAGAAGTGGCAAAGGCTCCCTGGAAACCTGTCGCGGGAGGGGGGGCGGGCGAAGGAAACGCAGGTGGCAAGCGCAGGTCTCGCGAGAAGTGGAGCCACGGGGGTCTTCCCGAGAGGGGCGGAGGCCCGGAGGCGCCGCACGTGTGGCTTCCCGCCCGAGCGCAGGGGCAGGCTGCCATCCAGGTCGGTTTTGAAGTTGGAGTCGAAAACCGTGGAGATGCGGAAGGATAACCCGCCCTCGCTAGTGCCCCCGGCAGCCCGCGAGTGGAACCTGCCCCCTAACGCGCCCGCCTGTATGGAACGGCAGTTGGAGGCTGCGCGGTACCGGGCTGGTGAGCAGAGACACCCCCCCCCCCCCCCGGGCCTGGACACGACCTCGCCCCGACCCCGGGGCGCCCCTTCCCGGACCGATCCATCCCACCCACTCACCCGCGTGCCCCCCCTCCCCCGGCTCCGCGTGGCCCCTGACCCTGCCCACGTTCCTTAGAGTTGAGGTCCCGACGGGCCCGCGTGCGCCGCGGGGCCGGTCACCATGGAGACGGGCGGGGCCTCCCTCCCGCCGCCCCCCCCCCCCCCCCCCAGCGCGTTCTGACAGCCTGTGCCTTCCCACTCTGTAGACGGGGCGCTTCTGCTGGGGGCCTCTAGCCTGAGCGGCCGCTGCTGGGCCGGCTCCCTTTGGCTTTTCAAGGACCCGTGTGCCGCCCCTAACGAAGGCTTCTGCTCCGCCGGCGTTCAGACGGAGGCTGGAGTGGCTGACCTCACCTGGGTCGGGGACAAAGGTATATTGGTGGCTTCGGATTCAGGTGAGTCCCTTTTCCTCTCACTTTTCCGATTCTGGTAGAATGGAGATAGGTTGGGTTCAATCTTTGAATGCCCCCAAGTAGTGATAGAGAAGCTGATAGTGTTGTCTCCAAACTCGAACTCTAGAGTAGGTAGAACATATCATTCCAAGGTTCTATATTTGTAGGAAAAAAAAATTGGTTACACATTTAAAAATAGATTGTCTTCCTCCTAACTTGTGCAGCCCAAGCCAAGTAATAATCTTGATTTTTAAAGGTTATACCAAAGCCAGAATGTAATGTCTTCCTGTTTGTCCCATTTTCTTAAAGAGTGTGTATGTGTATGCGCACACGTGTGTGCATGTCCATGTGCCAGTTCTGGGGTTTGAACTCAGGTCCTGGATGCTGTCCCTGAGCTTTTGTGTTCAAGTTTAGCGCTGTACCACTTGAACCACAGCCCACTTCTGGTTTTATGGAGGGGGGTGTGTGTTTAATTGGAGACATGAGTGTAGAGGACTTTTCCTGCCCAGGCTAGCTTCAAACCATGATCCTCAGATCTCAGCCTCCTGAGTACCTAGGATTACAGGTGTGAGCCACAAGTGCTGGGGTTAAATATATTTGAGTGTCAAGCTAAGCAAAGTAGGTTTGCTTTTATTTTTTTTTTTGGTCGGTCATGGGGCTTGAACTCTGGGCTTGGGTGCTGGCCCTCAGCACTAGCTCAAGGCTAGTGCGCTCTACCACTTGAGCCACAGTGCAACTTCCGGTTTTGTGAGTGGTTTATTGGAGACTTTCCTGCCCCAGCTGGCTTTGAATGGTGATTCTCAGATCTGAGCCTCCTGAGTAGCTTGGATTATAGGCATGAGCCACCAGGGCCGGGCAGGTTTGGCATTTTTTAAAAAAGAATCATCATTTCAAAGTTACCAGTGCATGGAAGTTGAAAAGTAGAATATTAAAGATTGAGTCTGTAACATTTGCATGCTAAGACTTTGCAAAACGTATTGAACTGACATCTGTTTTACAACTACTTAAAGGTAATTTAAAGATGATTTTGAAAAACATTTGTTGAAGTATTTCAGCATGTAAGTGACTAAACCACTGGGATCTGTTAACATTACTAGATTGCTGTAGATTTCATTCTTTCCCCAGGAACTGAGGTTGTAGTGTTTTCACCCAGGAAGCAGAGTAATAAGTTTTACCTTTTTCTAGGAGCTCTCAGACCTGCAAACTTGTCTGAACTGTTAATTGGAAACAGTAAGGCAGTGTAAAACCAAATGGTGCCAGGTGCTGGTGGCTCATGCCTATAATCCTAGCTACTTGGGAGACTGAGATCTGAGGATCACCATTCGAAGCTAGCCTGGGCAGAACAGTCTGTGAGAATCTTATCTCCAATAAACTAGAGAAAAAGCCAGAAGTGGGACTGTGGCTCAAGTAATAGATTGCTAGCCTTAAGCAAGAAAGCTCAGGGACAGTGCCTCAAAACGGAGTTTAAACCCCACATCCCAAAACCCCCAAAATAAAAAAACAAAACCAAATGGCTTGAGAGTTAGCTAAATCCTCTGCTGATGTGGACTTTGTTTAATGACAGTGGCTACTTAAGGCCTATGAATGAATTCCTATCTTGATATAATCTGAGTTTTATTTTCCCAACAGGTGCTGTTGAATTGTGGGAGCTGGATGAGAATGAGACACTTATTGTCAGCAAGTTCTGCAAGTATGAGCATGATGACATTGTGTCCTCCGTCAGTGTCCTGAGCTCTGGCACACAAGCTGTCAGTGGTAGCAAAGACTTCTGGTGGGTCCTTGCTCTCATGGCTCCTGTCTCTAGGCTTCCTGGGGGTTTCTTTACTCTCATCAACCTTATTAATATTTTGAGCTCAATATAAGTACCTAGCTGTTTACTAATAATTATGGGATATTTAACAATCCATTAGGAGGCAAAGACATGGGAGGGGTTGGTTATAGGAAATTCTTCTTGGAACAAAACATTTTTATGTTTTGTTTCTTGTTTCTTTTTGCTTCTTAGCATCAAGATTTGGGACCTCACTCAGCAGACGGTACTAAATTCATACCGAGGTGAGTAGTCTTTCTTTTTTGGTCCTAGCTTTAGCTGTTTTTTTCTCCCTGTTCAGCCCTTTAACTTTGCTTGCCTGTAGAAGCAGCAGCTCCACATTTCCCTGCCTAGGAATTTTGTTTTATTTGGCATACTACTGTCAGGTTCCAATAGCTACCCCTTGTCTTTCCCTCAGTTTTTATTGATGGTCTTATATACCTCCTCAGCTACATTCTTAGAGACATTTTGTTGTTGTTGTTTGTCATGGGGCTTGAACACTGGGCTTGGATGCTGTCCTTGCGTTCTTCAGCTCAAGGTGAGCACTCTACCACTTGAGCCACAGCGCCACTTCCAGTTTTCTAGTGGTTTATTGGAGATAGGAGTGTCACAGTTGTGCCCGGGCTGAACCATGATCCTCAGATCTCAGCCTCCCGAGTAGCTAAGGATTGGATTACAGGCATGAGCCACCCACTGGTGCCCAGCTCTCAGAGACATTTGAAAGATTGAACTTAGTCCAACCTGTACCACAAGTCTCCATTTTCATGTAAGCCACACTTCTACTTTCAGATTTTTCCTGGTTGACTTCCAAGATTTCTCTGCCCAAGCTGGCTTTAAACCTTAGTCCTCCAATCTCAGCTTCTTGAGTAGCTAGGATTACAGGCATAAGCCACTAGTTCTAACTGAAAGAGAATTATTAGAGAAATTAATTTGTTTAACATTCTCAATTCTCAGAACCCCCTAGAAAGTCTTTATGTGCAACTTGGAAGTTTGTGTGTTCTTATATGAGAACTGCTCTAGAATAATGTAGTTCCTGCATTTGAGGAACCTTTTTATCATTATTATTATTATTATTTTAGGTCCCATGGTGGTGCCTGAACTCTGGGCCTGGGCGCTGTCCCTCAGCTCTTCAGCTCAAGGCTAGCACTCTACCACTTGAGCCACAGCCCCACTTCTGGCTTTTTTCTTTTTGCTTATGTGGTGCTGAGGAATCGAACCCAGGGCCTCATGCATGCAAGGCAAGCGCTGTACCACTGAGCCACCTTCCCAGCCTCACATTTGGGGAACCTTAATTGCAAATTCTTTCATAATTCTTATTGAGCATCCAGTTGCTACTGTTCTGTCTTTACCAGTTTATTTTTTCAGTAAGCTTTTTTAGGTTTTACAGCTGTCAACCTTTTTTCTTACATCGTTCTAATCCATAATCTGTTTGTAGCAAAATGTGTTATATTGTGTCATGAGAAGAGACCTCACCCCCTCCCTCCTGCCTCTTGATTTTTTTTTTTTTATCTAGGCTTACTTATAGCATCCTCAGTCTCTTCTCTGAAATACTTCTCTCCTTTACAGCTCATGCAGGGCAAGTCACCTGTGTTGCTGCCTCTCCCCACAAGGATTCTGTGTTTCTTTCATGCAGTGAGGTGAGATGTAGCCCCTTTTCTCTAGCATGCCTCCATCCTCAGTAGGCCAAAATCTCTGTTGTAGAGATTTGGCTAGTAGCTTGTTGCTTCTTTGGACTGGAACCCTTTTCTTGTTCCTTCTTCTAGGACAATAGAATTTTACTCTGGGATACTCGCTCTCCCAAGCCAGCATCTCAGATGGGTGAGTCTGAAAGCCAGTGTGGGAGAGTAGTACTAGGAATCCACCTGGGAGTGACTTTCTTTGGCTTGAGTCAAAGCAGTTTTTAGGTGCCTGGTTGCTGTGATCTCTTTTCACACTCAGGCTCTGCTAGACCTATACTGTGCAAAGAATACCAAGAGGAAGAGCTGGACAATTTGCTGTGTATAAAGCTTCACAGAAGGGCTAGTATTACCATTTTTATGTTTTGTGTTTGAAATGTGCTTGTAACTTATAACGATAAGTGGCAGGAGGCTGGTGGATAAATATCAGTAAATGGGAAGCTACTGCTTTGGTAGAGTTTAGGAAACTAAATGAAGGACTTCCTGGGATTTAGAGGAACTGCTTTTTGTGTATGTTTCAAACCTCCCTTCTCTCCTTGGCAGGTTGCAATGCCTCTGGCTATCTTCCTACCTCCCTAGCTTGGCACCCTCAGCAAAGTGAAGTCTTTGTCTTTGGTAAGACATGACAAATTACATGTCAGTAAGGAAGGGGAGGATAAGGGAGAAAGAGCTAACTCCATAGTTCATATGTTCTTGCTACTTGGTCTTGTCCACCTACTTGGGCACTAGGTCAGTTGTGCTAGTTTTAATATATCTTTGGAGAACATGATGATATTTGGGGAATGGGTAGAAGTCATTGAGCAAATGTTTGCCACATAAGGAATTCTATTGTACCATGTATAGGTATGGTACTATTGCAATAACAAAGCTGTACATATGGTAATGGCTTGTGGCTTAAAATCCGTTACTTCATCCATTTCTTTAGTTTCCATAGTCACCTAATGATTTATTGCTCGTACTCTGCAAAAGTGGAAAGTGATGCTTGGAATAGTCAATTTGTCCAAGCTCACACTGGAATTTCAGTTGAGGTCTGCCTGGCATTAAAGCCCAGGCTCTTAACCATTGTGACGTATTCTCTGTTTTTGTGCAGGTGATGAGAATGGGACTGTCTCCCTTGTGGACAGCAAGCATGCAAGCTCTGCCCTCAGCTCAGCTGTACACTCCCAGTGTGTCACTCGGCTGGTGTTCTCCCCACACAGGTACTGTTCCTTGTCACCGGGATCCTGGTGGAGATGATGGGAAAAACGAGGGGAAGCATCTGTGTGCAAAGCATTCGTAATTAGATTATTCCTTAAAGCCAGCAGTCTCCAGTTGAGGTGTCTTGAGAATCATTTGACTCCTTAAGACTAGGCCTTAAACAGGTTGTATGGGCTCTCTGAAAATGGTTATAATTTGGCTTCATTTCTGAACAACACTCAGCACCAGGAATCTTTATTGTTGCTAAATTGGATAGAAGGCTGGGACGGAGTGCGTTTAGGTTGTCTGAATTATTGCTGTGAACCTTTTCTTTGTTCCATTTCCCTCATTTGTCCTTAGATCTTTGTGCTTGTAGCCAGACCTTAACCTAAAGTGACTAGCGGGCCCCCTTCTCTGGATCAGTTTACAGTGGGCTTTAACCTTTTACATCCTTCTCTGCCCTTTTCTAGTGTTCCTTTCCTGGCCTCCCTCAGTGAAGACTGCTCACTTGCTGTGCTGGACTCCAGCCTGTCTGCGGTGTAAGTTTGAAGTCCTATGATCAGGAATCAGGGAGGGGGAGTGGCTTTTCTTTCTTTTATGGTACTGGGCATTGACTCCAGGGTCTGGTGCTTATCAGTGCTCTTTAACACCTGAGCTATGTCTCTGAGAGTTCTCTGTTAACTGAGGGACCTGGGCACTGCAAATAAGTGGGTGTAGATGAGCTATATCTACCTGAGGTTTTGATAGAGAAGAGAGGAATGTGAGTGGCAGGTGAAATTTCTGTGTAGTATTCCAGCTCTCTCCCACAAAGGGGTAATCTTAACATGTGCTTCATAGAGAAGCACAGATATGAAAGGCAACCTATTGGACAAAAGGCACTGGGTAGAAGATCTCAGTTATATATGTTTATTTGCCACAATTAGCTGTCTAGCTCTGACCCACATACTACCATCTATGGCAGTAAAAGACAGGATTGCAAGATTGATAACATATACTGTGGGTAGCTACATTGCTGTCCTGGTGAAATGTGTGTAACATAAGCAGGGCTTTGGATGTTAGATTCTCTTTTTTCTTCAGGTATATTTTTTCTTGTTGTCTCTACCATGCCAAACCATGCCCTCTTTCTTTTAGGTTTAGAAGCCGAGCCCACAGAGACTTCGTGAGAGATGCTACTTGGTCCCCACTCAATCACTCCCTTCTTACCACAGTGGGCTGGGACCATCAAGTCATCCACCATCTTGTGCCCACAGAATCTCTCCCAGCCACCGGATCCGAGAATGTTGCTGAGTAGATTAGATTTCATACACACACAACAAGACAGCCACCTGTGAGCACCCACTCCTTTAACCTCCCTGTCAGTTTATGAGAACACACAGGAGCCTGGGACAGGATGTTGGCCCTAGATCTCTGCAGTTCATAGGTACTGTTTCTCAGCCTGCAGGAGGCTGGATTCTAGGATCCTCCTCACAGGGAGGAAAAGCTTCCTTGAAAATGGATAAGTACGTGTGTGTAAGTGCATATGTAAGTCTACAGTTTTTAGTGTGGGCAGAAGGAATAAAGAAATCCTCATCTTCCCCACCCAGTGCTCTCTCCACCCCCAAAAAATGTTGGTAGAGGAATTTTATGCTGTTCATGTAGCTAGCCCTGTGGCAAACTGGCCACGTCAGGGCAGGTTATGGGATGTGTAGGCATCCTTTGGCTCTTGCAAGCAGCTCTGTGCCATTCATAGATGGGACAACTTTTATTTTTTTAATAAAACTTAATACAGCATTACATGGAAAATGCTTCCATTCACAAATATCCAGTCTACCTACTTTGAGGAAGAGGAGGACACACCTACTATTCAGCTAAATCAGAAATCAGTTCTCTGGCTGAATGACTAGTTTGGATGATACATGTATAGTGTGTGAACAATTCACTTGTCTCCCGCTCTTTGGCAACTTGTATATGAGAGAAGACTTTTTCTGTGCTAGATTCAATAGAGAAAAGTTCAGCGTTGATGAGATGAAGTTAGAAAACTGACACAGAAACCTGTCACATTGTCTCTGATAGCAGCCTGGGGCTTTACTTCCTGACCCTGGGACCCATTATGGGTAATGGAAGTCTGAATACTGTATTTGGGCTCCTACGGGTTTAAAATCCAACATCAGGGAGAGAAATAGAAACACTGGTTGCTGAAATAAAGAGCAGGCACTGATGGCCTATCTCTTTTCCATTGAATCTTTTCCATTGAAGTCTTCTGTGTTATCACCTGTTACACTTGGGTGAGTCATCAGGGTGTTATCTTATAGGATAGTATTTATACTTCCCAGTTGCAAATAACTGGTTAGAACTTTTTGTTGTTGTTATAAAGGTGATACACAGCAGGATTACAGTCACCTAAGTCAGGTAAAGAGTACATTTCTTTTTGGGCAATGTCCCAGGTTTCTACCCCTGTCTCCACCCACAAGTTGTACAATTAATTTCCAACATAATGTCTAGTGAGTACCACTGTTGCATTTGTTCGCCCTTTATCCCTCCATTTCTGTACCCTCCCAAAGACATAAATGAACAAACAAGACAAAAAGAAAAAACTACAACAAAGAAAAAAAACCTTATTTTCATTTTGATACATATTATTTTATATGATCAGATGCACATAAGCAGTGCACCTTTGTGTTTCTCTCTTAAGAGTCCTTGGTCTCACAGTATGTGAATGTCTTGTATGATTTACCATGTTCCAGTGTATATTAGATGTAGCTTCTGTTGACCTTGGATTAGAACTTGTAAAAATGAACATGTTCTTCAGTTGTGTGCAATGCCCACAGATCTAGAAGTCTTAGGTCAATTTCTGATTATATTAAAACTAGAGAAAATTGTTTATGTACTTTTAAGCTTTGCAGATTAGATAAAAATAGCACATGAAAGGAAGTCAGTTTAAAAGAAAATGGGCAAAATATTTGTCGGTAGTTTGCACGTTCCCTTTGAAAGTCATGAACTCTTCACAATTACCCTTGAGTAAAACATGGAAATCTAGTTGTCCAGATTCCCAGAGTTGGGAGTTGGAGGTGTATAGAAATGACATCTCCCATTGTTCTTAACTAGAACTTTATGGGAGGGAGGGAGAGGGGTAAGAGGAATTGCTCAAGTTCTGCTTCTCAGAAGTAAAAGTTTATGCTTTGTAGTCACTTAGAAAAAGGAAAGAGGACCTGAGATAGGTAGGTAGGTATATAGTCCTTTTCTCCTAGGCTTGAGAACAGCACAGGAAAACAAAACAAAAAACAACTCTGAACTAGGTAAGACACTAAGGTGGTTAAAATGACACCAAAAAAGGTGTAGTCACTTAGAAAAAGGAAAGAGGACCTGAGATAGGTAGGTATTTTAAGTTTGCATAGCCCTTTTCTCCTAGGCTTGAGAATAGCACAGGAAAACAAAACAAAAAAAATCCAAAAAACAACTCTAAACTAGGTAAGACACTAAGGTGGTTAAAATGACACCAAAAAAGGAAAGCATAGGTTTTTTTGAAGAATATCTTTTAACCCAAAAGATTGACATTTGATCAGTCTGTGAATGAAAGTAACTCACATCTATTAATGACAGTCCTGTAAGGCTAATCAAACGTACAGGACTGACTGGCACAGTTTTGGGTGAGAGTGCACCTTGAAGTGCGCAAAGAAATAAGAACAGGCAACATCAAAATGATCAGGAATGTAAAACTGCAGAGTGATTAGCTAGGTCTTTGGCCTATAAAGTGAGCACAGATTTACTAATGATGGAGCAGTAAAAAAAAAATTTTGTTTAAAAATATGTCTTGTATTTAATTTCACTGGTTCAGATGTCTGAACATTAGTACATTCATTTCCAAGCTTTGTATTTGAAATCCATTAGCCTGTTCAACTACTGTTCCACTACTGATGTCTGCTTCACTCAAGTCTAAGAGAGATCACTTCTGAGTAATGCTTGGAGCCACATGGAATACTCGTATCAGCTTTCAGGTGGCATCAGTCATTGGGCTGAATCTCCATGCATCTTGTGTGTCCCACATCACAACTGGAGACTAGTCCCTTAGTTAACAGTCTACCAGTATACCTCCTACCTCATAATCCTGCAACATTAAAACTCTGAAATTCATTACTTTGAACCTCTAGTCATGTCTCCTTGTACAGTGTGTTAGGAAGGACAGGAGATGGAGTAGAGGTGTTGAATTTACAGCCCTTTAAAGTTGATTTTAAAAATATGTTTGACATGTCTAGACCTGAAAGTAAAGGGCTTTCACTTTTTTAAGTTATTAGATTTAGACAAAATGAGTAATACCTTTTATATTTTCTTTATACTTTAGTAGTAGTTGGGCTTAACTTTGAGTCTAAAAACAACGTGAAAAAAGACTTGTTCCAAAATGTAGTTATGTAACTTTTTAGCACATGAAAAGTTCTGGTACATTCTGAAAAGCTTTAAGGCATGGAATCAGAATCAACATCAGAATCAACATTTGGGGACTGGAAAGGCGGCTCAGAAGTAGAATGCTTGCCTTGGATGCATGAGGCCCTGGGTTCGATTCCTCAGCACCACATAAGCAAAAAAAGCCAGAAGTGGTGCTTTGGCTCCAGTGGTAATGTGCTAATAACCTTGAGCTAAATTGCTGAGAGACAGTGCCCCCAGGCCCAGAGTTCAGGCATCACTACCTACAAAAACAAAACAGTATCAACACTTGGCAGAAGCTGAGGTGATATTATTGCAAGTCACCATTTGTAGTGGGCTGCTTATTGCCAGTCTGTCACACAGTCACTAAAAACAGATTTTTTTCTGGAAAAGGGGAAGCAAGCTTGGTTTCAGTCTCAAGCCAATTACAATTTCAAGAACATCAGCCTATACAATAAACACTTTTGGAAAGGTCAACAGGGCAAGTGCACCAATCTTGGACCCCATATACATTTCTTTGCTAAATTTTTCATTAAAAAAATGGGTTATTAGAGACTTGGGGCGGGGGAAAGAGGAGCTTGAACTCTAGGCCTGGGTGCTGTCCCTCAGCTTTTTAGCTCAAGGCTAGCATGCTACCACTTGAGCCACAGTGCCACTTCCAGTTTTCTGGTAGTTAATTGAAGATAAGTCTCACGGGCTTTTCTGCCTGGGCTGGCTTTGAACCGCGACCCTCAGATCTCAGCTTCCTGAGTAGCTAGAATGGTACCGGTGGCGTGAGCCACTGGTACCCAGAGAAACATTTTTATATGATCACAGGAGTCATGAATCAGGATGAGGAATAAATGAGTATTTGGGGAGGAGAAATAAACTCTCAAGTTGTAAGGACAACACAATCCTTGCTCTTACCGTTTTTGACACCTGGCATATGTATGTAAGGAATGGATCATTTGCTCAAGGCTAGCACTCTACCACTTGGAGCCACAGCTCCACTTCTGGTTTTTGAGTGGTTCACTGGAGGTAAGAACCTCACGGGGACTTTTCTGCCTGGACTGCCTTCAAACTGTAATCCTCAGATCTCTATCTCCTTAGTAATTTACCAGTGTGAACCACTGGTGTCCAGCTGAAAAAATGCATTTTATCTCTGCAAGTTAAATCACCTTCACATTCTATAGTCTACAACTGGTCTGTTATAAAAATCATCTGACACTGGCTAGGCTTAGAAATAGAAGCCAGTGTGTCACTTCCTTGGTTGTGTATTTACTCTGTTTATTCATTATAAATGCAGACCACTTGTTTCTGTGAAGACAACTAACCATGAATCCTTCACTCATTTTGTAATAAAGCTTTAAATTTTAAGTCTAGTGTTAAAAGTTTAGTGGTATGCTCTCAAGCTTGTGTCATAATAAAACAAGAAACAAAATCTATGAAAGCCTGGCTTTATAATGAAAGACATTTTCTGGGACATATTAATTACCTAAACGCATTAAATAAGATAGAAAATATTTTAAAAATCCTGTTGGGTGCTGGTGACTCACACCTGTAATCCTAGCTACTCAGGGGGCTGAGATCTGAGGACTGGCTCAGCTGGTACAGAAAAGTCTGTGAGACTCTGATTGCCAAAAAACCAGCAAAGAGCTGGAAGTGGAGGTGTGGCTCAATTGGTAGAGTGCCAGCCTTGAGCAGAGTAAGCTAAGGAAGGATGCCCAGGTCAAGCTCCAGTACAAGCATGCAAAAATTAAAATACCCTTTACACACAACTGTGAATACCCTTTACACACAGGCTGGGAATATGGCTTGGTGGGAGAGTGCTTGCCTAGCATGCATGAACCCTGGGTTTGATTACTTAGTACCACATAAACAGAAAAATCCAGAAGCAATGCTGTGCTAGCCTTGAGCAAAAATGCTCAGGGACAGTGCCCAGGCCCTCAGTTCAAGCCCCAGGACTGGCAAAAAAGAAAAATGTTTATACCAAATACTAGGAAACCTTCCATTTAAAGATGTAGTAGCTGGCTAGAAAAGGCTCTTTCAAGTTAACCCCAATCTGCATGTAAGCAATCTTTTCCAATTCATCTGTATGAATATCATGAAAGATTTGGTCAAATGTTTTGTTAAAAAATAAGATACTTCAAAGTAGGCACCAGTGCATCATGCCTGTAATCCTAGCTATTCAATTAGCTGAGATCTGAGGATTACAGTTCAAATACAGTAGGACAGGAAAAGTCTGAGAACTCTGTCATAAGTAGAGCTGTGGGCTCAAGTGGTAGAGTGCTAGCCTTGAGGGAAAAAAAAAAAAAAAAAAAAAAAGCTCAGGGACAGTGTCCAGGCCCTGAGTTCAAGCCCCATGACTAAGCAACAACAATAACAAAGCCAGACACTTTTGTCTATGATCTTGCATGCAGCTAGGTAACTGGTAAAAAAAAATATGAGAAAGCTATGCTTTGTGAGAATAGGTTAAGCACTAAGGAGTGGTATCTTCTGAGTATGCAGATGGCTGTGTAAAAACAAAAGGCATTGGTTGTGATTTCTTTTGGCATCAAAAACTCAAAAGGTTTGTGAGCAGTGACATGCAACACTAATTTTGAACATACCCTACATTCAGCAAATTACTATTCATCATCTACTATTCACACAGAGCCATTGTTGCTAACTCCTCAGCAGGTCAGCCCTGAGTGCAGCAGAGGACATTTCTGGGCACCTATTGTTACATCTTGGCAGTCTCAGCATCATCATTCACTTTTGCAGATAAGGAGAGATCAGGTCTGAGAGTTGCCAGGAACCCCGTGATAAGGTAGAAGCCCAGAGAACTGACTCGGGAGCAGGTACCAGAGATGAAGACTGGCAGGCAAACATAGCTTCTGTGATGGGTACGGCATTGACAGCTAGGACCCTGGTGGTAGTGTGAGTGCAAGGACACAAACCTCATGAGATCTCAGTCATGGAGGTTGAGAAGTAAATAGAGGCAGGTGTTCGCTGTTAAGGAAGTCTTTAAAGAGAGCCAGTAGAACCTCGGGTTGTAAGGTAAAAGACTGGCAAGATTGAGGACACAGGAAGTAACTGTGGACCAAAGCACAGTAACAAGAATTAGTGCACAGAGTTGGAGCTGGGAAACAGAAAGCACAGATTGGTCATCTAAGCAATGGAACACATTGCCAAGCCTGAGCCAGTGTTGGCCTCAGGAGGCTAAATTATCTTCAGTCAGGTTAATAACCTACAGGAGGAGTGTGGAACAGACCTGTTTTGTTTATACTTTACGCTAATATACATATATGTGCGTGCACGCGCACACACACACACACATATGCTGTATGTTTGCACACATACACAGATAGGTTCTCAGATGTCCAACTTATATGCAACGGATTCCAGAGATTCATGACACATTCTCACCATTGGCTCATGTACTGGCTCAAGACATTCATAAAGAGTCAAGTTTTTGTTTTTTCTTGAGAAATAAAGTGTTCTGCCAGCATTAGTCTATTTCCTCACAGGGCAATACTAGCAGCTCTCACCTACCTCTGTTGTCTCCTGACCAGAAGCTTTATGTCAGCTGATAAATATCATTGAGTTTGAATGATTATTTCTCTAATAAAGTAGCGAGGGCACTATTTTTTCATATCTATGTTACCTGTTTATAGGAGCTGACTTGGAGTGTCAGCATCTGAGTTTGAGAGACCTGCTCATTGGACATCCCTTTTGAAATTCCTAAAAACAGCTCTAATTGTACTCTTACATGTAAGATTTTTTTTTGACAGTCCAGGCCCTGAAACTTAGGGCCTGGGTTCTGGCCCTGAGCTTCTTTCACTTAAGGCTAACACTCTACCACTTGAACCACAGTACCACTTCTAGATTTTTCTAAGTATTTTATTGGAGATAAGAGTCCCATGGGCTTTTCTGCCCAGGATGGCTTCGAATGCTGATTCTCAAGTCTCAGCCTCCTGAGTAGCTAAGATTACAGGCATGAACCACCAGTGCCTGGCTGAACTAAGTACTGAGGCTCAAACTCAGAGCCTGGGACTTGTCCCTTGGTGTTTGTGCTAAAGGATGGTGTTCTACCACTTGAACCACAACTCCACATTTGGCTTTTTGGTTTCTAATTGGAGATAAAAGTCTCAGACTTTTCTGCCCAGTCTGGCTTTGAACAGTGCTCCTCAGATCTCAGCCTCCTAAGTTGCTAGGATTACAGGAGTGAGTAAGCTTACTGGACCAACAATTTTTTTTCATAAATCATCTGTTTAATTCCTTTAAAATTGTCTGAAGTAATTGAGAGCTGTTACCTCCATGTTATGTGAAGAAGCTGAAGCTCTCAAAGGCTGAGCAAGTTGTATGGGATTTTTTACACTTCTAGATGGTGACAGAGTTTTAAACCTTGGACTCAAAGCCTGAAGGCAATGCAGATGCTTTCCAACTTTCTATTATACTGCTTGCCAACCTATGACCTTAGAACAATAGATTTACTGCTATCATATAATATTTCTCACCCTCTCCTCCAATCCAATCATGAGGGACTGAGAACCAAGAAGTGGGACTGAGAACCAGGCAGAGCATAGAAATACAAGGCCATTCACGGTCTGCCAGTGGGAATCCAGGGCTGTGGCTTTGTTGGATCTCAGAGTTACTACTATTCTGGAGGAGGGAGGACAGATGGTTCTGGGGTCACTGTGACTCCTGTGAATCATTGAGGTGTGTGTGTGTGTGTGTGTGTGTGTGTGTGTGTGTGTGTGTGTAACTGGGCTGTGCCAATGCTCTACATGGGTCAACTCCTTAAAGAGGCTCTTGCCTCACAGCTGTCAGACCACAGAGATGGGGAAGCTGTTTCTTTGGGTTGGTGAGTGTGGCAGTTCCAGCGATGTTAGTCCAGGAGATACCAGGCTTCATGAGTTTAGCATCACTGCTGGGACTCAGGAGGCTGGAGAAGGGATGGAACACACAGAAGGATTGAGGGGCATCCAGAAGAAAATGCAGAGTAGCAGCTCTCCAACTTGGTTGAACATTTTAATGTCTGAATTCCATCTTGGGTCAATCAAATCAGAATCGCTGAGGAAACAGCCAAGATATCAGTACTTATTAATTCTCAATTAAGAGAACTTTTGCCAGGACGTTAACCATTATGATCCCCGTGCAAGGCACACACACACACACAGAGTTTATATAGAGAAAATTTTATTAGAAAATGATCTTTGATCTGGCTCTCTGGACTTCACTTTGGAGGAGAGGAAATGGATGGATAGTGTGTGCTTCCATCTGTGGTTCTGCATCCGGGCACTGCTTCTCTGGCGGGGCACTCACTAACCAGAAGGCATGCAGGGACAAAATACTTGGTGTGTATATGAATCTGTGTGTGATTCCTTCTTCTGTTTTCCATAGGGCTGGTTCTTCTGCTGAATCACCACAATGGTAAGAAAATCATCTTCTCTCCTTCAGCAGCAGGATAACTCTGGCTAGGAAGTCCTCCACAGAGCGTTCCTTGCAGCCCTGCCTCACTCTAGCTCCTCTGGCTGGAATTACTGACCCAGTGCAGTCCACTAGAGGCCAGTAGGTTATCTGCTGTCTGTATCACCGACTCTGTATGATGGCATCCAGACTTGGGATCTGAACTTGGGATCCATGGTGACCAGAATCGCATAAGGCATTCTTTTTTTTCCTGGCACCTAATCAGGGAGGAAAGGATGGGACTTCAGGGTGGATGTGGGTGTGAGGAAGGGCGGAGGAGGCCATGTCAGTGGCCTTTTAGGCTGCTATGAGTTGCTCTGTGTGTGTGTGTGTGTGTGTGTGTGTGTGTGTGTGTGTGTGTGTGTGTTTGTGTTTGATTGGGAGAGTTGCATGAGCTGCTGCATTGCTTTCAGAAGCTGAGCTCTCCTATACTGTCTCCCCACTCTTTTATGTTTTGTTGTTGTTGTTCCTGTCCTGGGGTCTTAAGGACGTGGGCACTGAACCTTAGCTTGTTTGCTCAAAGCTAGTGCTCTACCCCCTTGACCCATACCTCTACTTTTGGTCTTCTGCTGGTTATTTGGAGATAAGAGTCTCACAAGCTTTTCTGCCTTGGCTGGCTTTGACGCAGGATCCTCAGGTTTCAGCCTCCTGAAAAGCTAGGATTACAGATTTGACCCACTGTTGCCTGGCACCTTTCTAATCCTTGGATCTCTGCTAACTAATGTGTGTTCTCCCTTATCAGGTGCTGCCTACAAACTGGTGTGTTATTTCACCAACTGGGCACATAGTCGACCAGGGCCTGCCTCCTTCTTGCCCCATGATCTAGATCCCTTTCTCTGCACCCATCTGATTTTTGCCTTTGCTTCAATGGACAACAACCGAATTGTTGCCAGTAATCTCCAGGATGAGACGATTCTCTACCCAGAGTTCAACCAACTCAAGGGGAGGTGTGTACATATTAGAGGGGGGATTGAATTTTCAAAATTTTACAGATTTAAGGGTGTCAAGCCTATTTTTCTTGTTACTTTTAAACTTTCTCTGATTCTTCCAATCCTAACCTCCTCACATGGGACTCTCAACCTTGCCCAATTCTTAAAACTCCATGTTGACAAACCCCTCAAGTTCTTTTTTTCCTGATTTCTCCAGGGATGTCATCTCTTTCCTCGTTGCATGATAGACTCACCCTTTGATACCTCATGTGTGACAATCTCAGATATTAAAGTTAAAGTGCTGTTAAAGTGATTCTAAGAGTACTTGAGGGCTGGGAAGTTGGCTCAGTGGTACAGTGCTTGCCTTGCATGCCTGAGGCTGTGGGTTCGATTCCTCAGCACCACATAAGCAAAAAGAAAAAAGCCGGAAGTGGCGCTGTGGCTCAAGTGGTAGAGCGCTAGCCTTGAGCTGAAGAGCTGAGGGACAGCGCCCAGGCCCAGAGTTCAGGCCCCACGACAGGACCAAAAAAAAAAAAAAAAAAAAAAAAGAGTACTTGAACATCACAAATGCTCAACAAATATTAGTGATTTTTAATTACCATTTTTTCAGCCTCCAAGCTCAAGCTCCTCAAGGAGAGTAACAGTGTGTCCTATGCTTCAGTATACCCAGTGGACAGGCCAATGTTTGCATAGAGTTGTGCTTAGTAATTATATGCTAAGTATTCCCTGCTGGAACTCCTGGTTCTTTTCCTGTTCACCTGAAGATTTAGGGCTACATGAATGACTATAGATGGCAGGGGGAAAATCCCAAAGCACTGTACTTCGAGTTCCCTGAGCACTGGGAGTTTGTTCATGATGTTCTCTGCTATTGTCCAAGCATCCAAACCAGTCAGTGGTTCAGTTATTGCTCAATAAATATTTGTTGAGTGAAGAGAAGGATTTCAGCCAGATACTGATGGCTTATGCCTGTTACCCTGGCTACTCGTGAGGCTCAGATCTGAAGATTATGGTTTGAACACAGCAAGAAAGTCTGTGAGATTCTATCCTCCAATTAACCAGCACAAAACTGAAAGTGGAGGGCTGGGAAGGTGGCTCAGTGTTAGAGCGCTTGCCTTGCATGCCTGAGGCCCTGGGTTCGATTCCTCAGCACCACATAAGCAAAAAGAAAAAAGCCGGAAGTGGCGCTGTGGCTCAAGTGGTAGAGCGCTAGCCTTGAGCTGAAGAGCTGAGGGACAGCGCCCAGACCCAGAGTTCAGGCCCCACGACCGGACCCAGAAAAAAAAACAAAAAAACAAAACTGAAAGTGGAGCAGTGTCTCAAGTGGTAGAATGCCTGCGTTGAGCAAAAGAGCTAAGGGACAGTTCCCAGGCCCTGAGTTGAAGACCCAAGGGCCAGCATGCTCATGTGTGTATGTGTGTGTGCGTGCACACACACACACACACACACACACACACACACACACACAATCTGGAGAAGCAGGAAGGAATGTGAGGTATTTGGTGAATTTTGTACAGTCTTGTTGTTATGCAGCTGTGATGGCTATTGGTCTTGTTCTTGCTCCCCCTTTTCCTTTCTTTTTTCTCTCCTTTCTACCTGCTCCCACCCACCTTTTTCTTATTTTTGTGTTAGTGTTGTGGCTTAAGCTCAGGATCTTAAGTTCTAGCTTAGCTTTTTTTGCTCAAGGTTAGTCTTCTACCACTTGAGCCCTACCTCCACTTCCAGCCTTATGCTAGTTAATTGGTGATAAGTCTCTCACAGACTTCTCTGCCAGGGTGGCCTCAAAGCTTGATCCTCAGAACTTGGCCTCCTGTGTAATGAGCCACCAGTGCCCAACTCCTTTCCCCCTTTTTGCCCTCCCATCTCCCATCCTCCATTTCCCATTTGTCTTTCACTGTGTAAAACAGAGAATGATGACTGCCGTTGTCCACTGAAAGAAGGGCCTGCCTACCCAGCCTTTCTCCTCCATTCTAGGAACACGGAGCTGAAAACACTGCTGTCTGTTGGAGGGTGGAACTTTGGCACATCAAGGTGAGGTTGGCTGTTACTTTTTTCTCTGGAAGAGATGAGTAGGGCCGGCTAGAAGTGAGGATGGTAGAGCAGCAAGCCAGCTTGGTCATGAGCATAGCAAAGCTCATGCTGGCTGTTCCTCAAGTCCTACACTGGCCCTGGATTTTAAGAACTCCTTCCCTGGAGAGTCACAAGAAACAAAGAAGTCCTCACGGGTGGTAAGCATAGAGATATGGGGAGAACTGAGAGATCAAATAAGATATGCACAAATGAGCCTTCGTAAGAAGACAAAAAAGAATAAATCCAACATTTCACAAGGCCTGTTATTTCCTCACTTTGTTAGCATCAGTGCTCCCAACCTCGGTAAAGGCAAAGAAGCAGCAGATCAAGTGCTGGTCTTGGTGGTGCATGGGTACATGGAAACTTTCCCACCTGCAATAGCTACTCTTGGTAGCATTTCCCTTCCCTGAGGAAAAGTGGACCTGACAAACTGTCTTCATACACGCTGGAGAAATCTTTCCTCCACTTTCTGGCTATTCTTGGAGCAGAGAACTGCATGTGTTCTCACTTTGGGGAGATGGCAACTGAAGCCATCTCAGCCCCCAATCTTCACCTTTTCTCCTGTGGACCTTTGCATAGCTTAGGGCTGTGCACCAATTTCATGTCTGCCCAGGAGCATCCTACAGAGTGGTTATATTCCAAAATGGTAGGAAAAGCAAGAGTCACAAGTATTAGAAACTTGTCAGTTTTCTCTCTTAGAGTCAGCCTTGTGGAAAGTAGCCAACAAATGGAACCCATGATCTTCTATCTCTGAGTCTGGTCATTTGCTAAGCAGTGTCCAAAGGGCTAGTCCTGAGTCACTTCATGTTCAACTCCAACTAGTTAGAATTCTTCCCAAAGTGTCTTCACTATGAAAATGAAAAGAAATTAAGATTGAAAAGAAAACCAGACAAGCAAACAAAAGAGCCAGGGACAGGAAGTTCTTATCAGAGCCCTGGCTTCTGGTGTCAGCCCAGATCCTGATTAGTCTGTAGATCTTTCTGAAGTTGTTGGCTTTGGCTCACCTTCCTTTTCCCAGTCCAGCCAGGGAGGGAAAGAACACCATGGCTAGGACAGGTGGTAAGAATTGAGTTGTTCTGATGAGGTGCCAGCAGTGAGAGGTTGAATGCCCTGCATGGTTTCCTTGACGAACAGGGAAGAGGCTATACTCTGCACTCTTTGTCTTACCCCCAGTATCCCCACAGGTTCACTGTGATGTTATCTACCCCAGCCAATCGTGGCAAGTTTATTGCTTCAGTTATATCCCTCCTGAGGATACATGACTTTGATGGTCTTGATCTTTTCTTCTTGTACCCTGGACTACGAGGCAGCCCCATGCATGACCGGTGGACTTTTCTCTCCTTAATAGAGGTAAGACTAATTGGGAAGCTCCAGAATCCAGGAATGGTTCTACTGTTTATTGTGTCTGGTCTTATGGTAGAAGGACATAAGGCCAAGGGCAGGAGAGAGGAAATAGAAGATTCTCTTACTCCTGAGATCATAGGGCAAACTGCTTTGCTCAGCAAGTTCCCTGTGTGTATTCTTTTTCTCCATCTTGGTCTTGCTCCAGTGCTCTCAGCGTGAATCCTGTGTACCCAGACTGCTTTGCTCTCCTCGATCAAATCACTGTTGTTGACCCACGTCAGTCTTTCTCACAGCCTACAGGCAGGGCCTGCATCTGACTCAACATTTTTTGTTTTTGAATCGCCATATTTTAACATATAGCTTTGATATACTTCTGTATCAAACAAATGAAATGGCCAAGGCAAAGTTATTTCTTGAATAACTGCTAATATTATTGATTCATTACTGGTTCAGGAATTCTGGTTTTGACAGGCCATTTTCAAATCAAACAGTGAAATATTGTATTATTTTAATGCTGCCTCAATACTATCACTTCCAAATTTCTCATTGCTTTCAGTACTTTTTCCTTGTAATTTTCTCTTTACAAAGGTCTGTGCATCGATGAACTCTTAAGGTTTCTGAACTACACCTTATTTAGTTAATGTGACTGAAAAGAGTTATCCTGTGGATTCTCAGTCTTTCTGAATTGAAAAAAAATTAGTCTACAATAAATAAGGCAGGTTATATTCTCTTTGGCAGCCTGTGCCAGAAAATAGAAAATATTTCCTAACAAAAAAGACATATTGAAACATTTTGCTAGCTGTTTAGATTTAGCAAAGTAAATCTTAGGTCATTTTAGCTGTTCAGAAAGCTTTACGCAGGTCTGAGGGCTTCTTGCACTTAGATCTTGAAGCAGGAATGGTTCTTGAATCACAATGTACTATATGGGCAAGGCATTGCTCAACATCAGTCATAGCCTTCCTCCTACATCCTTTCTGTTCTCAGACCTTTCTCAAGGGGATAATGCTTTCTCTCCCTAACTGATTTGTCTGCTTCTCCATGTCTTTCTTCCTAGGAGCTGCTGTTTGCCTTCAAGAATGAAGCACAAGTCACCAAGCGCCCAAGGCTGCTGCTCTCTGCTGCTGTCTCTGGTGTCCCACACATTGTCCAAACATCCTATGATGTGTATCGTATGGGACAGTGAGTAGATGCTGCTGTGGCGAGACAGGACATGGGAGGGAAGGAGGCATCTTGAGCTAGAACTATGGAGCATCTCAAGTGCTGTGTCTGAGCTTGCCATAGCCCTGGTCTGAGGAGCATTGATGTGTACAAGAGTCAGCACTACTGGATGTACCGGGGGCTTAAACACAAGGCCTGTGCGCACACGTGTGCACACACACACACAATTAAATTAGATCATTACAGTAAGCCCCACACTTCTGACTTGGTGAATGCTCAGTCACACTTGGTCACTAGGAAGTTTTCTAGAAGGTGGTATCAGTGGCTCCTGGAATGGTAGAAAGACAGCAACTCTTACTGCTAGCAGTCAGAATTCTTTTTACTCACAGCAGCTATTTAGACCCTTGAGAACACTTTTGAGCCTGGATATATCTGCTTTGATGTCCAGTTTCTGCCTACCAACTCAGATACTCTCTGAATGCATAGAACCAGATGCACAGCTCTCTATGTCAACATGGTGGGCACAGCCCATGCAGACCTCAAGGCAGAAAGAGCAGAGTAGCTAAGGTGACCAACATAGCTAGTTAGTACTGCAGTGAACTTACCTGACAAGTTAAGGTTGGCTAGCCCAACCTAAATATCTTCTCTTCCATTTCTTACAGACTCCTAGATTTCATCAATGTCTTGTCTTATGACTTACACGGAAGCTGGGAAAAGTTCACCGGACACAATAGCCCCCTATTCTCTTTTCCTGGGGATCCCAAGTCTTCGGTAAGAAAAGGAAAGGTCTCAAGTAGCCCGGATGTCCATATCTGAGCCCAAGTATTGTCTCTTAGTAATAGGGATGGCCTGTGTTCTTTATCCCCACAGGCCTATGCCATGAAATACTGGCGAAAGCTTAGTGCACCCGCAGAGAAGCTCATCATGGGGCTCCCCACCTATGGACGTACCTTTCATCTCCTCAGAGCTTCTCAGAATGGGTTGCATGCTGCAGCTGTGGGACCAGGGGCTTCAGGGAAGTATACCAAACAAGCTGGGTTTCTGGCTTATTATGAGGTGAGGGTGTTTGAAACCTCTGCCTAACAGCAAGGTTTCCTCCAGACCTAGCTGGGACAGTAGATAAGACAAGTGAGGATGGTAGAATGGGAGCTAGAGCAAAGAGGTGGTTTATCCAACAAAGGAAATTCACGACCTGGAACATTTTCTATTTCTCTGGTGGAACTTGAATCTTTTGTAAGAGATGTGGGACTTGGGTATTTTCACAGAAGGCTCTTAAATACTGTGTAGGTAAACCCTGACTTACTATAAGGCCTAAAAAATCATATATGAGATATGTAATATAGAACATATATATACTTATATAATTATATGTAATTATAATTGTATAATATATGTTATATAATATATAACATATATATGATATGTGTATGTATATGCATATATATTATATACATATATAATACAATTCAAATACTTACAAAAGCAAAAAGTATATATAACAGCATGTATCCCTTATCTAGGTGAACTCTTTAACGTATGGCCAATCTTTCTGCATCTGTGCTCTGATTCCTTGCTTTCTTACTACTAAGGCTATGTGTGTGCATGCACCAATACCAGGGCTTGAACTCAGGACTTCAAGCTCTTTGCTTAGATTCTTTGCTCTAAGTTGGCATTCTACCACTTGAGACATCCTTCACTTCCAGCTTTTTGGTGGTTAATTAGGGATAAGAATCTCACAAACTTTTCTGTCTGGAATGGCTTTGAACCATGATCCTCAGATCTCAGCCTCCTAAGTAGCTAACAGTGGCCAGAGTACTAAATTATTGTGAAGCAATTGCAAGACAACCTCTAATATAGGTTCTTTCCACTCTACTCCAGCTCCAGCCTGGAGTAGAGGAGTATGAGTTGACAATGTGGAGGGCTGGCTGTAAGGAAGAGGGTAAATAACATAGAACAGGAGAATGCAGAGCAGATTTTGAAGCACAAGAGAATCTGAATGTACAGGTACAAGTCAGCAGGAACAAAGGCACAAGATGTTTAAGGGGTGCCACATGGAGAGTTAAAACCTTCCTGCACCAGGTGCTGGTGGCTCATGCCTGTAATCCTAGCTATTCAAGAAACAGATATAAGGATTGAGATTCAAAGCCAGTCAGCCAGGGCAGAAAATTAGTGAGAGTCTCATCTCCAATTAACCACTAAAAAGTTGAAGCAGATGTGTGGCTCAAATGGTAGAATATCAGCCTTGAGCAAGAACGCTAAGTGCAGGCACAAGGCTCTGAGTTCAAACTCCAGTACAGACACAAAAGAAACAAATGAAGCCTTCACTTCAGCAGAAGTAGAGCTGCCAAGTGTCTCTGCAAGCTCTGCTCTGTGCTGGATATTAGGAGATGTTTTCCTATGAATCCGCTGGGGTGCGGTTATGAGAGTTGGCATAGTTAAAATGTTTTTGAAGGATACCACATGGGCATAACTTTTTTTTTATTTTGCTGGTCCTGGGGCTTCAATACAGGAGCTGGGCACTGTCCCTGAGCCTCTTTGTGCTCAAAGCTTTGAGCTAGGATTATAGGCGTGAGCCACTGGCACCTGGCACCTTACTCTTTTATTCTACCATGCACACTAGAGAAAGGACCATGCAATAGAAGGAATTTAGTCAGGATAGTGAGGAATTCCTGTGTGACCAGCTTTCCCACTCCACTCCCTATTTGATCTACCTTTGTGTGTATGTATGTGTGTGTGTGTGTGTGTGTGTGTGTGTGTGTGCATGTGTATGGGTATGTGTACTGGTACTGGGGCTTGAATTCAGAGCCTTGTACTCTCACTTGGCTTTTTGCTCAAGGCTGCCATTTAACCACTCAATCCACAGCTCCACTTTCAGTATTTTGCTAGTTAACTGGAATTAAAAGATTCTCACAGAGGCTGGGAAGGTGGCTCAGTGGTAGAGCGCTTGCCTTGCATGCATGAGGCCCTCGGTTTGATTCCCCAGCACCACATAAGCAAAAAGAAAAAAAGCTGGAAGTGGCGCTGTGGCTCAAGTGGTAGAACGCTAGCCTTGAGCTGAAGAGCTGAGAGACAGCGCCCAGGCCCAGAGTTCAGGCCCCACGACCGGACCTCCCCCCACCCCCCAAAAAAAAAAAAAAGATTCTCACAGACTTTCCTGACTGAGCTGGCTTCAAACCAGGATCCTCAGATCTCAGCCTCCTGAGTAGCTAGGATTACAGGTCTGAGCCACCAGTGCCCAGTGTGATCTACCTTCTCCTCATGCCCTGGTGAGGACTTCCTAGATGCTATATTCTGGGACAAGGGGCAGCTATGTCTCCTGGTGCTCCTTGTTATGGTACTTCATGGAACTCACCTCTGGTGTTTCTGGCAGGTTTGCTCCTTTCTTCAGAGCGCAAAGAAGTACTGGATTGACTATCAGTATGTTCCGTATGCCTGCAAAGGGAAGGAGTGGGTTGGCTATGATGATGCCACCAGCTTCAGTTACAAGGTGAGACCCAGAGATTTCTCACTTCAGGATATAGATTCCCACTGGCTTCTGCAGGATCCCCCGGGAGCGCATAGTGCCTGTGCGTGCATTTCACGATCCTGTCTTGAATTGAGCGCTGTCCCTTCATTTTATTCTGCTTAAAGTTGATGCTCTATCATGTGAACCACTCTTCCACCCCTTTGGTTTTTTGCTGGTTAATTGGAGATGAGAGTTTCACGGACTTTCCTGCCTGGGCTGGCTTTGAACCACTCAGTCTCCTGACTAGCTAGGTTTATAGGCATAAGCCCCCAGTGCTTGGCTCTTTCTTTCTTTCCTTCTTTCTTTCTTTCTTCCTTTCTTCCTTTCTTTCTTTCTTTCTTTCTTTCTTTCTTTCTTTCTTTCTTTCTTTCTTTCTTTCTTTCTTTCTTTCTTTCTTTCTTTCTTTCTTTCTTCCTTTCTTTCTTTCTCTTTCTTTCTTCCTTCCTTCCTTCCTTTCTTTCTTTCTTTCTTTCTTTCTCTTTCTTTCTTTCTCTCTCTCTCCCTTCCTTCCTTCCTTCCTTCCTTTCTTTCTTTCTCTCTCTCTCTCTTTTTAGACAGAGTCTCACTATCTAGCCTATGCTGGCCTGGAACTCATCATGTAGCCCAGACTGGCTTTAAACTCCCGATTCTCCTGGCTCTACCTCTTGAATACTGGGATTAAAGGCATGCCTGGTCTTTGCCTGTGCTTTGATGAGCCTCAGAGACTTGATAAGGTAGGAATTCTTGGGTCTACTTCTGAACATTCAGTAGGTCTGAGAGTCTGGGAATGATTTTTAGCATATCTTCATATATAAATTTGCTGTAATAGTTTGTTATTTGGAGTGACACATAAGACTCCAGGCATGAGATATAATGGATCTAGATTAGGAGGTTGGAAGAAGAGATTATGTATGAGAAGTTGTCAGTATTTGACAACTGTCTGGATATTAGGGTTTATAGGAAATGATTCATAGTTCTACTGTAAGTGCTGTAGTAATGGCAGAGTTCTGCTGTTCTGTCTTTTGAGAGGGCAATTAAGGGTTAAAAAACAAGAGGTAGGGAAGCCCTCATGAAGATTCAGTGTGTCTTCCACTGTGCATAAATAACTTCTGCTGGGTAGAAAGCATTGCTTCCATCTCTTAGGACCTCCCTCTGGTTTGGGAAAGGAAGATAGAAAAGATCAACAGCTTGACAGAAACACAAAATTGGATGGACTTAAATATATGATCCACAGGGGTCTTGTCCCCACATGTTAGGGGAGGGCTTGGGACCAGCAGCAGAGGGGGAACTTGCAGTGAGGGACATTGTTGTACCTTGCAGAACAACATGGAGCCCAGTGTGGGGATGATGAAAAGATATTATTATTATTATTATTATTATTGTATCAGTACTGGGGCTTGAACTCAGGGCATGGGCACTGCCCTTAGCTAGCTTTCATTCTTTCTTTTTTTAAAATTTCTTCCATTTTTTTCTTTTTTGTTGGTTGTGGGGCTTGAACTCTGGGCCTGGGCGCTATCCCTGAGCTCTTCAGCTCAAGGCTAGTGCTCTACCATTTAAGCCACAGCACCACTTCCGGTTTTCTGTGGTTAACTGGAGATAAGAGTCTCACAGACCTTCCTGCCTGGGCTGGCTTTGAACTGCGATCCTCAGATCTCAGCTTCCTGAGTAGCTAGGATTACAGGTGTGGGCCACCAGCGCCCAACTGTCCCTTAGCTTTCTTACTGGAGGCTGGTGACTTACCATTTGAGCCACACTTCACTTCTGGCTTTTTTTGTTGGTTAATTAGAGATAAGATAACCTTGATACTCAGATCTCATTCTCCTGAATAGGATAACAGGCAGGGCCTGGCTTAGTTTTTGAAAATCATCTTTATGTAGTCGTACAAATGAGTTTCAATTCAACATGTCTATTTATGAGTACAATGTATCTTGATTAATGTTACCCCTTCCATCATTCATCATCCTCCCTTATCTCTCCTAACTCTATCTATCCCTTCAAGTTACCTAGTTTTCATAAGTTCTATTTTCACACATGTGTGTGCGCGCACACACACACACCACAGAATATTATGGCTATCTTTGCCCACCCTGATGAAGGGATTTTGTCAGATTACCAATGCTAAAGAAACCCTGGAGGTCATTGCTGAGACATAATCATCTCTGTATATCTTACTATTTTTGCCCAGAATGTGCACTCTGGGCAAAAGGAAACTAAAAAAATTAAACTGAAAGTGGAGAGGTGCCTTCTCCTTTCTCTCAGAGTTATTTGTCATTCAAGCGTTGTACTCATCTCCTGCTCAGGGTTTCCTTGTAAACAGCACCGAATATGCATGCTATTTCTGTCTCTGGAAGGAGGACTCAGATATTTCAGCCATTCCACATAGACTTCAACTCTCATAATTTAAAGTTTCTTCTGGGTACAAATCCTACTACACAAGAAGGTGGACCTCAGTCCTTCATTCTGACCTTTAGTGAGTTGAGGCCCAGGACCCAGCTCAAGGTGCTATTTTGGCTGCTTTTTTTTTTTTTTTTTCTATAAATGACCTGTTCTCTGTTCCAGAGGTATAGTGGGGATGTATACACACACACACACACACACACACACACAACTGGAAGGTTGCTGGCCTTGGTGACTTACACCTATAATCCTATTCAATCAAGAAGCTAAGGATCACAGTTCAAAGCTGGGCTGAGCAAACAAATCAGAGAGCCTTTTATCCAGAGCTGGAGGTGTGGCTCAAATGGTAGAGCACCAGGGTAAGTGGAAAAAGCTGACCCAGAGCTTGAGACCCTGAATTCAAGCCCCAGTACTAACACACAAAGACTAAATCTGGCAGGTTGACTTGCTAACTTGTAAGCAGAATAAGCTCTCAGAACTTTAAAAAAAATTGTGATTAAGTGATTACATAAATTGCACAAATTCCATAGTATTGTGAGATAGTGACACTTAGTTAAAGTCACAAACACATTCTAACCTTGATGAGGCAAATTGTCGTTATTGTGATCTATTACGTTTGTGAGTTCTATGAACTTTGACCATATAGCTGTTTCTTTCTTTTTGCTTAGTGTCAGCTGTTCCCTCTATCTCTCTCATTCCTTCCCTCCCATTATTACCCTTGAGTTGCTTAATTCATTTTCATCAATGTTCAGTGCAGCTGATGGGTCCCTCTGAAAAACAATAATTGTTTTTCCCCTTCCATTTATTTTAGACCTGGGGAAAATCAACCCCACAAAGGAGAAGATGACATCAGCAAGTCACGCAGCTATTTGAATATGATGAAGTGTGTTTTCCTATCAGCTTGAACAAAGAGTTCTGGCAGAATAACAATAGATCCTAGACTTGAGTAACAATTGACCCTATACTCTGCCATTTAGTTATAGCTAGGTTTAAAATTCATGGAAGAAAACCTTTCTATTCTCATCTGTGAAAAGGGTATGCAATAATCTGCTCTACTTTTTGTTTTGCCAGTTTTGGGGCTTGAAGTCAGGGCCTGGGCACTGTCCCTGAACTTCTTTTGCTAGCACTCTACCATTTGAGCCACAGTACCACTTCTGGCTTCTTCTGTTCATTGGTTCTGAGGTATTGAACCCAGGGCTTCATGGATGTTAGGCAAGCACTTTACCACTAAGCCACATTCCCAGTCCCAGTCTTCTCTACTTTTAAGTGTCACTGTGACACAGATATGTGGAAGTGATTTTTGTTTTATTTTATTTTATTTTTTATTGTGAAAATACCATATAGAGGGGTTACAATTACATGGGTAAGGTAATGAGTACTTTTCTTATCAAGCATTATTGCCTCCTCCTTTGTTTCCCCTTCCCATCCCTTTCCATCTCCCCACCCCCAAGTGATTTTTAAATAATAAAGTGATATCTATAGTTTACTGTGATAATAGCTACAACCACATGGAGGACCCAGAAGGATAATAGTTAACATTAGCTGATCCTTAACTATGCACCTAGGAAAAGTTACACAGGGTTCCTATTAAGCCTAAAACACAATAGCTACCATTTTAACCACTCTGACTTTATTGCATAGTGTTGATAACTACATTCTGTGTAACTATCACCCCATTCATCTTTAGTACTTTTATTCTTCCCAGACTGAAACCTATTAGCCACAATCTCCCTGTTGCTTCTCCCCGCTCCCCCAGCTCCTGGAAGTTGTCATTCTACTTTCTGTCTCTATGAATTTGACCCTTCTAAGGACTTATAAATATGATGTGAAATTTGTTATTTATTTAATCTGGCCATTTCACTTAGAATAATGTATTTGAAGTTTCATTTATGTGATAGTGTGTAGGAATGCTTTTGATCCTAAAGAACATTTTATATATATATATATATATATATATAAAATTACTTTATTACAATGGAGTCAACTAAGGTACATAAAATTTTAACTAGGTGCTGGTGGCTCTCATCTGTAATCCTAAATACTCAGGAGGCTGAGGTCTAAGGATCGTGGCTCAAAGCCAGCTTGGGCAGAAAAGTCTGTGAGTCTCTCATCTCCAATTAACCATCAAAAAAATGAAGTGGAGGTTTGACTCAAAGAGTAGAGTGCTGGCCTTGGGTGAAAAAGCCGAGCAAGAGTAAGAGGCCTTGAGTTCAAGCCCTAATTCTCCCTCCTCCTCCTCCTCCTCCTCCTCCTCCTCCTCCTCCTCCTCCTCTTCTTCTTCCTCCTCCTCTCTCTCTCTCTCTCTCTCTCACACACACACACAGAACATAGGGCTGGGAAGGTGGCTCAGTGGTAGAGCGCTTGCCTTGCATGCATGAGGCCCTGGGTTCGATTCCTCAGCACCACATAAGCAAAAAGAAAAAAGCTGGAGGTGGCGCTGTGGCTCAAGTGGTAGAGCGCTAGCCTTGAGCTGAAGAGCTGAGGGACAGCGCTCAGGCCCAGAGTTCAGGCCCCACGACCAGACCCAAAAAAAAAAAAAAAAAACAAAACGAAAAACACACAGAACATAAATTCTATGAAAGTGCTAAGATTCCCTAGCAAGAGTTAAATGTAGGTTGTACCCTAACCTTCCTACTACATTGCCCCTGGGAGCTTATTTTCTGGATGATGATGATGATGATGATGATGATGCCACTATACCCAGTCTGTAGAATGGCCAGAGAAGCACACTGATGGACTATGATGTTACTTCTTGCAGGGAAAGTTCATAATGAGAGAGCATTTTGGGGGGGCCATGGTGTGGACATTGGACATGGATGATGTCAGGGGCGCTTTCTGTGGCACCGGCCCCTTCCCCCTGGTTCACACATTGAAGGACCTTCTGGTAAAGGCTGGTAAGTAGCTATGGCCTGAAAGCTAGAGTTGGAATTTGCATAACTGGGCACTGGTGGTCTATTCAGGTAGATCTAAATTCTTCAATGAAGCGACATGACACTGAGGGTAGACCAAGCAATATGTTCTCTAATCTTTGCTGAGACACCTGTCCCTTATTTGACTCTGTGTGTGTGTGTGTGTGTGTGTGTGTGAGTGTGTGTTGCTAGGAATTAAACCCAGCCTCTAGCACTCTACCACTTGAGTCATGTTTCAAGCCCTTTTGTTTATATTTTGCTTGTGACATAGAGTCCGCTAACTGTGCCTGAACTGGCCTAGAACTCTCAATACTCCTTGCCTCTGCCTCTCAAGCAGCTCTGATTAAAGGTGTGCACCACCATGCCTGGCTCCTTATTTGCCCTCGTAGGGTTTCCTTTGCCTTATCTGGAAATAGGAATAACACTATTATAAGAAACAAATGAAATGTGCAATAAAACTTCACTGGCTCATATTAGTACTCAATACATGTCAATTTATTTCTTGGATCAGGATTTCTTTTGATATATCCATCCATCCTTCCTTCCTTCCTTCCTTCCTTTCTTCCTTCCTGTCTCTCTCTTTCTCTTTCTCTCTCTTTCTTTCTTTTTTTGCTTGAACTCAGGGCCTTGTGCTGTCCCTTAGCTTTTTCGCTCAAGGCTGGCACTCTACCACTTGAGAAACCATAACTCCATTTGGCTTTTTGTGATTAATTGGATATAAAAGTCTCATGGACTTTTCTGCCTAGGTTAGCTTTGATTTGTGATCCTCAGATCTTAGCCTCCTGAGTACCTTAAGATTATAGGCATGAGCCACCAGCTCCCAGCTGATAATTTCTTTTTTTATTAAATATTTTTATTGTTATTATACAGAAGGGTTACCATTTTGTAAGTCAGGCAACAAGTACATTTCTTTAAAAATTTTAAATTGTTATTATAAAGCTGATGTACAGAGGGATTACAGTTACATAAGCCAAGTAAAGAATACATTTCTTTTTTTTTTTTTGGACAATGTCACCCCTTCCTTCTCCTTCAGACTCTCCCAGTTTTTACCTCCTGTCCCTACTCACAAGTTATAGAGTTCATTTTCAACATATTGTCTAGTGAGTACCACTGCTGCATTTGTTCACCCTTTTATCCCTCCACTTCTGTGCTCCTCTTATCCTCCCAAAGACAGACCAACGAAAACAAGACAAGAAGAAAGGGAGAAAAGAAGAACTTTTGCTTCCATTTCCTGCAGTTCATTTCAATAAATACTATTTTGTATGCCTTTGTATTCCTCTCCTAAGAGTTTCCTCCTTTGGTCTCAGTGGGTGTGAATGACCTGTATAATTTATCATGTCCCAGGGCTGGGAAGGTGGCTCAGTGGTAGAGTGCTTGCCTTGCATGCCAGAGGCCCTGGGTTCGATTCCTCAGCACCACATAAGCAAAAAGAAAAAAGCCAGAAGTGACGCTGTGGCTCAAGTGGTAGAGCGCTAGCCTTGAGCTGAAGAGCCGAGGGACAGTGTTCAGGCCCCATGACCAGACCCCCCCCCAAAAAATTTATCACGTCCCAGTGTATTTTAGATCTGCATATGAGAGAAAACATGCACTGATTGTCTCTCTAAGCTTGGCTTACTTCATGTAACATGATTTCTTCTCTAATCTTTCTTTTCTTTTCTTTCTTTCTTTTTCCTCCCTCCCTCCTTCCTTCCCTCCCTCCCTCCCTCCCTCCCTCCTTCCCTCCCTCCCTCCCTCCCTTCCTTCCTTCCTTCCTTCCTTCCTTCCTTCCTTCCTTCCTTCCTTCCTTCCTTCCTTCCTTCCTTCCTTCCTTCCTTCCTTCCTTCCTTCCTTCCTGTCTTCCTTCCTGTCTTCCTTCCTCTCTTCTGTCATGGGCTTGAATTCAGGGCCTGGGGGCTGTCCCTGAGCTTGTATTTTTTTCAAGGCTAGTGCTCTATAACTTTGAGCCACAGCTCCACTTCCAGTTTTCTAGTAGTTAATTGGAGATAAGAGTCTCTCAGAATTTCCTGCCTGGTCTGGTGTTGAACCACAATCCTCAGATCTCAGCCTCTTGAGTAGCAAGGATTACAGAGGTGAGTCACCAGCACCCAGCCTGATAATTTCTTTCGATACTAGAGGCCATACCAGCAGTTAGAAGATGGAACTTAGTGTGTAAGAACTGAAAGATACTTAGATTGTTTATAATCCTCATTTTATGCACAGGACTTGAACTCAGCTAGGTAACCTGCCATCTAGAGCCTCCTTGCCCTCAGCTTTGTTCCTGGTGTTTTGAAGAATGTGGAGACACAAGAAGCTTCTCCTTGGGCCTTCCATAAGTAAAGAATTGGTGGTGCAGTCAGAGAGGTCACAATGAGGGCTTAAGCACAGGATACAGCTCCTTTTGCTGTCACTCACAGGAAATGCGGCAAATCCCTTGAGGACCCATGGCTTGGCACTGCTACTGTGATGGGGTTGGGAAACAGGGCTTCAATGTGCTGGGATTTTTGTCTGTGCTTTCAAGCACATAAACGATGAAAATCTCCAGTTACACAGTATTCGATTAGGTACATCAGCCCCAGAGTGGTTCTAGTCCTGCCAATAGTTAATAAGACAGAGGGAGAAATCTCATCTCTTTTTCTGTTGATTTTTTTTTTCTAGACTTGAGCACAACTTCTTTACCACAATTTCAGAACTCATCTGCTATGACTGTTTCAAGATCGGGCTCTGAAAGGCTGGCTGTGACAAAGACACCAACCACTGACACTATGAAGATTTTGCCTCCAGGAGGAGAGGCTGAGGCTATGGAGGGCCATGGGAAGAATGAAAATATGACTCCAATCCCTGCGGATAGAAGTGTGACTCCTGGAAGGGATACAACACTCCTTGGAAAGCACACTGTCACGTTCAGAGGGAAGACAGAGGCTCCTAGGGCAAAAACTGTGACCCCCGTGGCTCATGTATCTGGGACCAGTGCAGGCACCATGGTGGCCCATGTGCATCCTCAGACAGAGACTCCTGCTGAGAACAGTTATCAGTCTGTGAGCTCTGGAGGGATGAGTGTAGTTCCTGTGACTCTTCAGGTGAAAACCCGTAGCCAGAAGACAATGGCTCCTAAAACGTCCTTGTCTCCTCCCAGAGAGATGTCAGTCACCCCTGGTGAGCAGAGCACCCTCCAAAGTGGTCATTTTGTCTTTGAAAGTGAAAACTAATGCCAAGGTTGGATGAAATTGGTGTTCAGAAAGAAGCTGAGACAGGAAACTGGACTCCAGCTAGGCCTGTCATCCCACTGCCAGAATGTAGTTCTCTTGCTTCTGAAAATCACGTTCTCCCCACAGACAACAACTATCTCCATTAACACAATGGCTCTTTCTCAAGTCCTCGTTCTCAAACTAGAAAACCTAGAAGACTCTGTTGTGAATCAAGCGATGTGGACCCTGTTGGTGGCAGACTAGGGGAAAGCTCTTGTGTTTGCTTTTATCTGCTAGAATAACAGATGCCTGGTTGATGAGGTAAAGTAGGCATCAAAGCCAATCTGGTCAATTTCCTTTCTGTTGAATAAACTAGGATAAAAAAACCACCTGAGCTCTTTGAGATTCTTTTCTGAACATGCCCTGGGAAGGCCAGGTGCCAATGATTCCCCCTTGTAATCCTTAGCTACTCAGAAGACTTGAGATCTGACGATCACTGTTTAAAGTCAGCCAGGTCAAAAAAGTCTGTGGACTCTAAGTCTCCAATGAGCCAGTAAAAAGCTGGGAAGTGGAAGTGTTGGCTCAAGGGGTACAGCACCAGTCTTAAGCAAAAAATAGCAAGCAAGAGTGAGAGGTCTTGAATTCAAGCCCCAGTACTGACCCCCCCCACACACACCCCAATGCCAATGCCTGTTTCTTTCAAGGTCATTTCCCCCTTATTTTACTGCTGTTTTTTTTGTTTTGTTTTTGTTTTGTTTATTTGGAAAGGAGTTTGTGTCTAGTGTACAGTGATGAATTCCAGTGTAGATTATAAACTTCCTTCTGCCATTAACTTCTCTCTTCATGATTGGTGAAGGAGACCCTTGTGGAGAAGCCTATTGTGAGCTATCGGTTTGTTACTCCTCTGTTAAAGCATTTCCCATAACCCTTAAGGAGATTGAGGAGGAGAAAGAGGAGGAGGAGGAGGAGGACGAAGAGGAGGAGGAGGAGGAGGAAGAAGAAGAAGAAGTTGAGTGACCAATGATATGCTTGACAGAGTTGTCTCTGAAAAGAAACAACAACAACAAAAACCCTATTTATCCTGTGCTCAGGAAGTGGCTGAAAAGCTAAAATGGTATCTTACTATAATATTACTGGCATACTTCTAGAAAGTCTCCTCCAGAAATACCAGTTTGTATACATTGCACACTGCAATCTACCTGGGCAGCATTTCTCTAGATGTGGTTCACCCTGGCAGTTGCCACAAACACAGGATCAGGTCGCAGCTTTCTGCTTCTAGGAGCCACACAGTTTTCACCTCCAAAGCCAAATTCTCTCCTTGTGGAGGCATATTCTGCCCATTAGGATTGACTAGCATCTCACTAACTTTATGTGTACACCTATTTTCTGTTACTAGTAACACATTAGTGCAGACTGGGTAAGGGTTAAGAAAAGAGATTTCTTTTGGCTCGTAGTCCTAATCCAAGGTTGAGACATCACATCTGATGATGGTCTTGCTGCTGATAGAGTGCCAGAGTAGAACAGGGCAGGCATTATGACCTAATGTGAGACAGGAAACATTTGTCTGTGTATATGTTTATTCTCAGGTTTCTGTCACTGATAAACCTACCAGTGTTAGGTTCTCAGGGCTCTACTCTGATGAGCTTATCAAATGCTAAGAGGCCCCACCTGTAAACACAAAATCAGACAAAGCTTCCATCCTCTTACTATTTCCCAATAGAGTTTACATTCCAACATCCATTTCAGAGGAGAAAAAAAAAACCTTAAAAAATATACTTGATAAGAAAATAGAATAACTTGCCCAGAGCAAGTTTAAAACCCAGTAGGGCAGACATCTCTTAAAGGCCCTGCACTGGGTATCTGCAGGGGATTGAGGTGGGGTAATCAAGGTCTCAAGTAGAAAAACTCCCATCATGCCTGTGGCAGGTGACAGGTGGCAGGTGGTGTGACTGCTCTGTAGTTCCTGTGAAAGACTGGCATGGCCCTTTGATGATGCTTTTCCTTTCCAAGGTCCCTATTGAGGCTTCACTCCCACAGCTCTACTCCTACCATTTCACCAGGAGTTTTCCCAGGAAAGAATCTCTGCAGGGGATCCCATTCTGTGGCACACTTTCACCTGGCTTCCCGGACCAGTGGATCACGGCTCCACAATAGCTGGATTCTGCAAGCTTACAAACCCAGCACCACATGGGCCAAAAGGTAAACTTAAGCATGCACACATTTTCTTCTTTAGGGGTAGCATGCCCACTGTTTGTGCATGACAAGTTACCAGGAAGTAAGTGTAGCCCCCAAATTAGGAGAGAGTGGAAGAAATTGAATCTCTCTGGTGAAGGTTTCATTTCCTGAGCTTCTAGCATTGAAGAAAAGCAGGAACCGTTGGGTCAGGTCTATTTGGATTCACATCTTTTATTCTCATTGAAAATTGTGGAGCCATCTCCTTATCTTCTTCCTAGATAATGTGAAAAGCTAAGTTGTGGATGAGATTGTGGGAACTCTTAATGAATGTGAGCAGGCAAGATATGTGTATTTGAAAAGGAGACACTGCAAGCCTACCACCCTCAACTCCCTAATGCTTGGCTCTGCTACTTGCTCGCCCGTTGAAGGAGGTCACCAAAAGCTGGAAGATACAATGCAACTTTCAGGACTTAGTCCATATGTTTACTTTGTGTGTATGTGTGCAGATGCTACATGGAAGCCACTACGATGGACAATGGTGATCTTTTCAGAACTAGGCTCATTGAAGATTTTAACAGAGAAGTGAGCGCTAACGTAAGTACTGCAATGATGCATGTGAAGGGCCTCAGGGTGCCCTGCCCTTTCCATGCATTTGCTTCATTTAATGCCAAGGAAACTGACTTAGAATGTGTGTACTCATACTGCAAAGAACACTTTCAAAGTTCTTTGAAAAAGCCCGGAGTAGGCAAAGAGAACAGAGAATAGAGACAAAAGGAGAAAATGTATTTAAAAATACTGGGGGGGGGGGGGGGGGGGGGTAGGGAGTTTGGCTGGGAATGTGGCTTAGTGCTGGACTGCTTACCTAGCATACATGAAGCCCTGGGTTCAATTCCTCAGTACCACATAAGCAGAAAAAACCAGAAGTGGTGCTGTGGCTCTAGTGGTAGAGAGCTAACCTTGAGCAAAAGTTCAGAACCAGTGTCCAGGCCCTGAGTTCAAGCCCCAGGACTGGCAAAAAAACAAAGACTGGGAAGGTGATGATTTGATTGTTTCCACATAGATGGGAAAGGAGGCAGGGAATAGGTTTAAACAGATATGAGGAATGATAGATGCAAGTTGTTTCTGCCTAAGAAAGGGTCATGGAGAGGGTGCTATCATCAACAACTGTATATTTTTTTTTTGCCAGAACTGGGGCTTAACTTGAATTTAGGGTCTGGCGGTGTCCCTGAGATTTTTACTCAAGACTAGCTCACAGGTGTGAGCCACCAATGCCAGGCTATTGTCACTTTCTAACTTGAATTTTCAAATGTCTAATAAAAGATTACTCTCAATTTTCAAGAACCTCTTGTTGTAAATTGGGAATTATGCCACTAGGTGGCAGCAGGGGGCAGGGTTACTTTTTTTTTTTTTTTTTTGATAGGCAAGATAACTAGGAGAGTATGACCAAGGCAATAGCGCCCATAAAAAGGAAATCAAATCAAATAGAAATCTGTTTCTTACTACTATTAAATTTGGACTCTTCATGCACATGGAAACAGAAACAGCACAAAGGAATCACACCAGACTGCGTTAGACAGAGGTTCTGGTTCAGACACATTCCAGTTTGTCCCGTTATCACTGTATGATCTTGGGGAAGGAAAGCTGGGTTCATAAAGGTATTAGTACTCAGCAAGAAAGCTACATATCTTCAGAATGTTTTTTTCTTATGAACTTTTTCTTTAGAAACTTCTTTCATTCATGGGAAGCCAGGACTTTGCAGAGCTTCAGAGAAGATCCATAGCAAAGTTTCATGGCAGCTGCATCTTCACCTGGGAAATCATTTTGGTAGTTGGCCTCTTACTTGAAGCATCTAAAAAGTTCCGATCTAAAAATCTATCTATCTACCTATCTATCTATACATATATATGATATTTACAAGGATTTGAATGTCATTTGACAGATCACCACACACACACACACACACACACACACACACACACACACACACCTTTTCATCCGGGTGCCAGTGGCTCACAGCTGTAGTTCTAGCTACTCTTGATGCTGAGATCACACTTTAAAGCCAGCCCTGGCAGGAAAGTCCATGAGACCCTAATCTCTAACTACCAGAAAGTTGGAAGTGGAGCTATGGCTCAAACAAAGCTAAGAAACAGTGCCTAGACTCTGAGTTCAAGCCCTAGTACCAACACACACACACACACACACACACACACACACCCCACACAAACACACAAACAAAATATTTCAATGAATATAGAATTAAGTCAATACTGAGAAGCTGGGCACAGAGGGTTATAAGATTATAATGTTATAAGATTATAATAATGTAAATCTTGTTCATGTAGATCTATCCACAACACACTATACTATACTACACTACGCTACACTATACTGCATTTCAATATCCACTATTGTGGTCTCAGGGCTCAATACTCATATACTAGCCTCATATGTCTATCCATAGGGCTTTGTTGAGTTGCAATCAGTGTTGAGGCATGTCATAAATCGCTTGATAGAGTAACAGTTAAAATTCCAAATGCATTGAATGTGTGTCTTTAATATAGTATTGTAGCTTAAGAGTATTCCCATCATAGTATTTTAGGTGCTTTTGTTATTGTCTTGTTTTTTACATTTCAAATGGTTTAAGTAAAAAAAAAACATTTTTTAAGCTTTTGTGCTGGGACTCAACTCTGTAATCCTAGCTACTAAGAAGGATGAAATTTGAGGGTTGCAGCCTGGTCAGACAAATTCATGAGACTCTTATCTTCATGTAACCAACAAAAAGCTGAAAGTAGAGATGTAGATCAGGTGGTAGAGCAACACCCAGCAGTCAGAAAGCCAAGTGAGAGCATGAGGGTCTGAGTTCAAGCCCAAGTACAGGCACACCCACAACATACTCACACAAACTCCCTGTTGTTCAGAGCTATAATTAGCACAGTGGGAACTGGGCAATTCAATCAAGTCTTTTAGAAGTATTTTGAGCTGGTGAGAAAGCACGCTGGCTTTCGCTCTTCTGGTTATGTTGGCACAGTGTTCCCAAACTCACCACACAACCTGACTCACTTGTGCCATTGCTCAAGTTTTCTTCTACTTCCAATGGCTTTCCATTTCTCTTCTTCATATAACATCTTAAAAGATGCTACAAGAAAAACTTTTTAAAAAAATC